GCGTATACAGTATGTGTATGCGGTGCAGAAGCAGCACGGACTCATTGTGCTTTCACACAGGACGCATTTGCAGTCCGCTCCTGATCCGCGGCTGTTTAACCCAAACACAACATTTATCCATTATTTTGATTTCAAATCCCAACGTAGTCAGCAACCTCCCGCTCTCTCTCGTGAAGTCAACAAAGAAGTGACTTAAACTGTAATTCATCAACTGGCCACTAGAGGCTGGCTGCAAAAGGGAGTCAATCCCATAGACTCCCCATGTTAAAATGCCCAACTTTACAGCAGAAAAAAAACATGTTTACAGCCTGGTTCAAAAAATTATTTTGGTCTATATAGCAAATTTTGCCCTTGATGACAACTGTGAGGGGGGTGAATTTTTTTTATAACTCATCCGTTTAAATTATATCAAGCCTTAAAGTTCTGCATAATTAAGGGCGTGGCCACTTGAGTGACAGGTGGATTGCCGCTGCTGTCACCACCGTCGAGCTAGGTGGGCGTGGCTTCAGTAACCTGCTCCATGCACATAAAGATTTGCCCATTTTCGATTATCCGGGAGTGACGCGCTGCCAAGATGGCGACGGCCGCCTTGCCAGTGTTTAACCATTCAGCGCTCGCGCGCTCTCCTGGAGACCGTGCGCTCATGCACACTTGCAGCGCACACACATAATGCCAGGTTCACATTACTCCGTTTGCACTGCAATGCATACATGGTGCTTATTTTTTCCGCACTCATGTTAACGGATTAAAGCGTGCACACTGCACACGGTTGTTGTCCGGCAGTGCGTTCAGGAGCGGTGCATCTGCTGCAGTGCCGACATCGTTCAGTAGCCCCTCACTGCAGAACAGGTGGGAGGAGTTGGATCTGGATCCAACCACGCCCCCTGGATCTTGTGTTCTGCAGTGAGGACCATCTCACATGGTTTCCGCTCCGAGTCTATTGCTGCGCTGCAAGCGCTGAATTAAATTAACAGCGCATTGTTTGCAGTAAATATGAACATGGATTGACACGAAAATGAAGTAATAATTACACCATAAATGCTTATTATTAAAGTCTGCTGTGTTTCACAATCAACACATATGGCTTTTTGGCTAGGTTTAAAGGATCAGTAGTGGACTCCTGTGTGAAAGCTGCTTCACCTCTCACAAGAGTCACCTAAGAGAGGAATTCCCCCCATTTTCAAAAATGAAATTCATGCCCTGAATAAATGTCTAAAAATCCTGATTGGAGTATCACTATAAATAGTTATAAATGATAAAAAAAAAGGCTTTAAAAATATCGGTGTGGGTGATCAGTATTGGCAGATACTGCTTTCTGTGATCGGCGATCGGTCTCAAAAATCCTGATCGGAGCACCCCTAATCACGTCACATGTGCTCATACAGTATATCTCAGTCATAGGCAAAGCTTACCAGGAGTAATTCACAATACACTAGTCTTAACTGATCAACATTATGCCAACCCGCAGCTTATAAGAGAGAGCTCTGACCTCACTAAACCCCAGGCCACAGTGTCTCCTGTTCCTCCCTGATAACTTCCCATCCAGACCCTGCTGATACTGGTGCTCGAGCTCAGCATTAATCTTCCGATCCTCTGCCCCTACAGACACACAAATACACACAATATACCCTCTTCATTACAGAGAGTTAAAGGCCATCAGTATTTGTCCATATTCCCAATGTTGCTGATATAGCATTGATAGACATTCAAAATTTTCCCATAACATTAAAATGTCTCCCTCATGGCTGGTTTCAGACAGTGTATATCAGTAAGACACTGGATTAAGGTAGTCGTTTTATATTTTACAAGTGTAAAATGCATTGTAACCTGGTCCTATGTGCACAATAAATGACAGGACATTACCAGTGGTGGTTGCTATAAAGGTCAGAGCATGTACTCTGACCAGTGATCACTGTAGGGTAAAGGATATGTGGTGTACAGGATGTCATCTGATCGGAGTCACAGGGGGTTTGGAAGTGTCTCATCCAACACAATAGGAGATTGCAATCACTTTTTGAACTGTCAAGCATTCAAATCCAGCAACCCTTCACTTCCGCCCTAGAGACTCACCGCTACGGAAATGGGATGTTGACTTGTGATCCCCAATAACAAGGCGTCCAGTGCGCTCTTTCTGTCAGGACATGAAAACATTTGAAGCAAGGATGTGTGATGGTGGTTATGTTCAAATTAGATAATTGTCTGAAAAAAAAGAAATGAGTGAATAACAGAAAGCAATGTACCTTTCCTGCTCCCATCAGCCTCAAAAACTTCTGCTTTCTTTCATCTGTCCCTAAATTTGCCGATCCCCATTGTGTGGCTCCAGTCTGCATTAACAGGTCAAAACAGATTCAGTTGAGCCATTAGTGTGTTACAGGAAAGCATATATTTCTAATCATGATATATATATATTAGCACACCATTTAAAATGACGTAGATCTATGAATGCAGAAAAAGGCTTAACAGATATAACCATGGAACTGAATTATCTGGTACAGTAGCTATTCTGCAAAATTATTATTGCAGAAAACGCAATAAAGTAGAAACAGGCAGCTATTACACTAATAACATGCATATATCAATCCTTCGTCACACTAATAACATTAAAAAATAGTTAGAACACATTGCTAACAATCTGCTAACATTGCTGGTTCACTAAATGTCAGATCAGATGTAACGTTAGTAAAAAAAAAAAAAAATGTGATGATGGAAACCACATACGTTATCTGGAGATGCGGGTCGTTTTGTGCCTTTACACGTTTCGTCTGAAGAACTCATTTTCAAGATTTTGAACAACAGTGGTCAAATAAACATTGCTTGTGCCTGTCTACTCCAACGTCTGCTTAGCAGCTAGCAGCTAGCTGACCCGCGCGGTGCATCGTGGGAGTTGTAGTTACAACGAGGCGAATTTCCTTTTAACCTATTTTTTTTTAAACGGAAAAACAAAATATTTTGAATTAATCTTATTTTTCTAGCAAAATATTAAATACATAAATGAACATTTTTAAGGCAGAAACCACTTTTGTATGTTCTACAGCAGTATTTGGGACTCCAATTCACTTGTTAAGAAAGCTTTAAAAACAGTTATGCGAGTTCTTTAATCCTTTCCTTTGATATGTGATTTTTTTTTTTTTTTTTGACTAGTTATATACCCCTTTTGGGGTGATTTGTATGTAGGCTATCGTACTATTTCTTTTTCTCTATTTTTTATTTTATTTAGGCTACTTATTTATTTATTTGCTTGTGTTTATTGTGTTCTGAGACTGAACATTTTTTAAGAACAGTTTATATTCATGCATACGTGTAACTATTGATCAACACATTCTTAGAAACATTTTAGCCTAGTTGTTGTAAAGGACGTTACTTTTTTAAATTCACAACGTATCAAAAACGGTTTCCTTCAGGGGGATTATATTTATAAACTATAATATACAACAGACTAAATTCTATTAATTACCAAATAAAATATAGAGAATATAATATAAATGATAGGCTAATATAAATTATTGTCAGTCTTTGTACTGACTGATGTGAACTTAGATTCGTCATGCATTGCCGTTTAATCAATTAAAACAAGGTTTTTATATGTAAATGTGGGGCAGAGCTTGGCACGGAACACGGACATCTCTCTGTTTTTTTCCTGGCTCAGTGCGTTTATATAAACACACGAGGTCGTGGGTAGCCTATAGTCTCTCAGAGATCCGGACTGCCTGCATATTATCGACTCATATCCATCTGTGAAACAAATTCACTCATCTTCCTCCAGAGTCCAGACCAGCATCGACGATATCAAGCCATGGCTGTTACCGGCTGCTCTCAGTGCATCAAATATATGCTCTTCTTCTTAAACTTCATTTTCTGGGTGAGTTTGTTTGTTTACCAATGCTATTTTAATTATTGTTTCTTGTACTACTACTACTACTTGTTTCTTGTACTGCCATTGAACATTTTTGAAGCAATGCTTTATGTTTTATAATGAAAAAGACAAGTTATTTTATGGTATTATATATTATGCTGAAATGTCTTATTTAAATGTATCTTTATACTGATATTTGTTATTTAAATTAAACTACTATATTATTATTGCACTATATATACTATAAAGGAACAAAATTGTAAATTTCCCTGAGTTAAATGAATCCCAAAGACCTGATTTAAGTCACAGAAGTCTTTAGAGCCGAAAACAATAAGTGTCATTCTGAAAGTTCTTCTTGTGAGTCTATTGACTCTAAACAATCGTCCCATCTGAAGTGATTAGATGTGCTTTCCCCCAGATTTTTCTCACCGTTCTTTTCAAAGATTTGTTTTTTTCACACTGTTTAATGTTAAGCTGGAGTTCAAGGAAATTTTGTACACAGTCTATATATGAACTGGAATAAATGCATGTCATATCATAGATAATTGGAGGTTTCTGTGCAAAATATTTTGTGAAGCATGCAATAAGTTTATTTTGCGTCTCACAGTCAGCTAAATGGTGTAGTCAGAGTTTTTCTTCTGAATGTATTCCTAGACAAGAAGAAAATGTGTGTCTCAGGCTCCAGAGAGCCTCCTGTAGAGTGAGGGTTAGCTGCGGGCTTTGCTGTATTTTTACACTCATATAATTATGTCCATGTGCTGTAGGGACACCATAAAAGAACAGAGAGAGAGAGAGATAGAGAATCATGTGCAGACAAGTTGTTTGTAGTAAATTTTGTAAAAATATATATCTGATATATATTCATTTTTAATACTTTTTTATAGCTCAAACAGTGATTCCTTTGCAATGAATGTATTAAATGTTTTATAGTCTGCAGAGTTTATTTTGACAAAAACATCACATGATATTCAAACAATGACATCACAGAGTAAAACTAACCATGAGTTTTGAGGAATGCCTAATTAGCATTTAGCAGCAAGACAAACATTATGGAATAACATTCATTACTGAAAATAAATAATGTTTACACCAATTTGGATTCCTAAAAATAAAAGTCATGTAATTTTTCAGACTCATTTTAATAAAAGCCTTCAAATTTAAATTTGTGTTTTCATTCAAGACTTTTAACTTGCACGAGAATGATGTTATATCAAATCCACAGCACCAATCCCAAACCCTCTTGAGATATAAATTGTTTCCTGTCATTGTACTTTACAGCAACACAAAAATATATCGGCCTGACTTCCATAATTCTGTGACTGAAGCTGCCGCTTCCTGCTCCGCGAATTACAAAAAATAAAAAATAAACAAACAAAAGGTATCACAGAGGCCTGACTCTCAGAGCTGAAGAGGACACCCCACCCTTTTTTGTGCATGAATAACACTAAACCTCTCAAAGGTTTCTTCCCCAAATGCAGGAAGAAATGACCTCTGGAATGACCTCAGGAAATAGAATTGAAACACACATTTCTGGGCGATGACAAAGGATTTTAAAGGGGTCATATGATGCAATTTCAATTTTTCCTTTCTCTTTGGAGTGTTTCAAGCTCTTGGTGCATAAAGAAGATCTGTAAAGTTGCAAAGACTAAAGTCTCAAATCCAAAGAGATATTCTTTATAAAAGTTAAGAGTCAACCACGCCTACCTAAAACGGCTCGTTCTAACACGCCCCCACATGTCTACGTCACGATGTGGGAAGATTTGCATAACGCCGCCCAAATGTTCACGCAAAGAAAGAAGGCGTATCTTTTATTCTCGCTGTAGTTTTGTTGCTGCCGCCATGTCGTGAAGGCGCTGTGTGCTTCGTTGTGAAAGAGAAACTACTTTGTTTGGCCTTCCAAAAGAGGACACGACTAGAAATCAGTGGTTAAGTTGTATTTACAACACTGTTCCAGAACAGTTCAACCCAAATATTCAGATGTGTGCAGCACATTTTATGGAGGACTGTTTCCTGATCCTGGGAGAGTAGACTATAATGCCGGCTGTTCTGACTCACAGCCTGTAAGTACGTTTTCATTTAAAGGATTTGCCACTGATGATTCAAACGCGAATTTGAGAAGTGTTGAGTAGCACTTGTTTGTCATTTCTCCGATCACAAATGTGTTTACGTGGCGCGATGCAATAAATACACAAAATAATGTTCTTTTTAGCAGCATCATATGACCCCTTTAAATTCCAGCTGTTGTATTCAGTAAAAAGTATTTAAATGGTGAATCTTTGCTGAAAAGCATGAGTAAATATTCTGTTTTTTTTTCTTTTCATCTTCTCTTATTTTTAGCTGGCTGGCGGTGTGATTTTGGGTGTAGCTCTATGGCTTCGTCATGACAGTCAAACCAGCAACCTCCTAATGCTCCAGTTTGAGGGGAATCAAGCACCAGGAACCTTTCATATCAGTAAGTGATTGCCGCTCACAAACTAAAGGTGGCTAAAAGCTAAACCATTGATCACAAAGTTGGTTTCTTGCAAATTCTAATATGTTAAGTGTAAAGATTGATATTAAGTTCAGTTAGATTCAGATTTAAAATGTTAACTACTTTCTAGTTCCAATTATCCAACCTGATTATTTAAACCAGCCACCCAAGCCCTACAATCATAACCCTCTGAAAATTATCGTACCCATTCATTTCTGACCTAAATGCTCACTTATGCCCGATGTCGTTAATTATATCCTCTTACAGTATAATTTAGATACTGAACATTAATTTGGACTGTGCATTGTAATATTTCAGATTTAGGAAGTTATTCATCATCAAGTTGGGTCTTATTTAACACTTTGCTCATGTATGTTTTATATGTAATCCTGTATAATGTTGTTTCAATTAATGAGCAGAATATTTAAAATTGTTAATGTAAAATATTTGAAAGATTCTTTTATTAATTATTATTAAATTATTATTATAAATTGTTATTTATTTCTACTTCTGCTTACAACAAAAATGACAGAAAACTACAAAAGAGACATACAATAACCGAAGGACATACAGCATACATAAACAATTCATAAATTAAGTAAACACAACAGTACTTGAACAAGTAATGCAGTGACTTACATAAGACCTTTATGCTGATTGTAATGTATAAATAGTGACATTTAAGCATAAATAATAACATGAATTATTATTATTTAATACTCACGTTTAATTGGATTAATTCACACATTTAGTTATATTTATTATCATTAATAATAATAATATAATAATAATAATTAATCGCAGTAGTAGTGGTGGTGGTGATTTTCATTTTGAATTTTCTTTCTTTCTTTCTTTATAACTAATAGTTTAAACAACAAACAAATAACAACAAACAAAATGAATGGGAAAAACATTGTCCTCAGCCAGATGTTTTTGCTGTTATAATAGTTTGTTAATATGCATGATCAAGAAGCCATTGTACTGTGAACTTTGAGAAACAATTACTCTTAAAATAGATTAGCATGTCTCCTCAAAAGATGGAAATTGGAAACTGGATCTAAGCTGAACTCTGAGAGGGCCGCTAAATCCCTGTGTGTGTGTGTGTGTGTGTACCTGGTATTCCCTACGTTATGGGGGACCAAATGTCCCCCACCCTCTCACTCATGTTTACACACTTAACCACAGCAGATGAACGCAAAGTGTTCAGTGGCACAAGGTCAGCATGTTGTGGGCACTAGTGTAGAGTTAGTGCCCATTAATTTTTGTAGAAAGCATTGGGTTGTCTCCACTCAGTATAAGTACATGGAGGAACCAGAGCTCCGCCTGTTTCTTTTTATAGCAGCAACAACCTTTTCTGATTAAAGAAGTTAGGGTTGTTGATCTGGCCCACCCAGGGAAAGAAGAGAGAGATGAAGCATCCCCCTCCCACTGCTACTGAACATCCGTGTAATTGAAAAAGCCCTGCTCATGCAAACAAATAACAACAAACAAAATGAATGGGAAAAACATTGTCCTCAGCCAGATGTTTTTGCTGTTATAATAGTTTGTTAATATGCATGATCAAGAAGCCATTGTACTGTGAACTTTGAGAAACAATTACTCTTAAAATAGATTAGCATGTCTCCTCAAAAGATGGAAATTGGAAACAGGATCTAAGCTGAACACTGAGAGGGCCGCTAAATCCCTGTGTGTGTGTGTGTGTGTGTACCTGGTATTCCCTACGTTATGGGGGACCAAATGTCCCCACAATACCAGTAAATTTTGACCTTGTGGGGACATTTATTTGGTCCTCATAAGGAAAACATCTTATAAATCATGATACAGAATGAGGTTTTTTGAAAATCTAAAAATGCGTAAAGTTTTGTGTAAGGGATAGGATTAGCGGTAGGGTTAGGGTAAGGGGATCGAAAATACAGTTATGTACAAATCATTGTGTCTATGGAATGTCTCCATAAAACATGGAAACCCAACGTGTGTGTGTGTGTGATTTAAAGAACTATGATGGCAGCAGCACAATATCATTGCATAAGAGCTTTGATCCCGTTTGCCATGTAGTCAAATGTAGTCATGTAGTCGTTCTTGTATTTTCTTTAATAACACTGCTTTCTGCTGCTTTCACATGAAGTCAGTGTTTCTACAGACACTCCCACAGGGTGTTTTAAAAGAACCAGGGAAAGACTAGCCCGTTACACCACAAATTAGAATGAGCAGTGCTTGGGCTCGCTCAAGTGCTGGTTAGACAACCCTAAAAATATGTTCAAGCCCGGCCGCTCCAGCAAATCATTATAGCTTAGAGAGGAATCTGGCTGGAGAATACTTACAGATTCCTAAATATAAGTTTTTAAACAGAGAGTGGAGCTTGTGCAGCAGGGATAGCTGTGTATTTTGTCCAATGAGACATAGGATATGAGGATATATGATATATAAGTATATACATCGTATACTCAACTTTTTTTGTCTTATGTAACCCCATAGTTGCATCATTAAGTCAAGTACACCGTCATCTAAAACAACCCATGCTGAAAAGAAGTGTGCTTAATTGCATTGAATGCGCACTTACATTTAAAGTTAATATATTTTAAATGGAGTAAACTGCAACTTCATTACAAATGTGTAATTACAAAAATATTTAAATGCATGACAATCAAGTTTCACAATAGAAATGACACTGACGTATAGTTTAGTTTACCATAAATGCTTGTCAGTACATAAGTATGAAATTACATATGACAATGTACTTAAAGGGATAGTTCACCCAAAATTGAGGTATTTTGAAAAATTTTGGTAACCAAACAGTTGACGGTAACCACTGACTTCCATAGTATGGAAAAAAATACTGCTGAAGTCAATGGCTACCGTCAACCAACATTCTTCAAAATATCTTCTGTGTTCATCAGAAGAAAGAAAATAGGTTTGGAACAAGTGGAGGATGAGTAAATGATGACAGAATTTTCATGTTTGGGTGAACTATCCCTTTAAGTCCTATAATATACATTTAAACTATAATAAATATTCATTAAATTGCAGTTAACATACAGTTAAGTGTCTGAAAACATCATAGTGCATTGCTATATGGTTGTTAGGGTGTTCAGAGTGGTTGCTAAGTTGCTGCTATGGTGTTGTGGGTGAATGAAGTTCAAAACAGCCAATTCTGATGGAGCACAGAGAGAAATCTGGCTCTGTGTAGAGGGTTCCTGTTTAGAATAGATCTTCCCATGCCTGTTTATAGATTGTATGGTGAAGTGCTCTTTTACCTAAAGCCTGAGATACTCTCTCTCTCTCTCTCTCTCTCCCTCTCTGTCTGACTTTTGCAGCATTTAAAGCTACTGCTATGTTAAATCAAACAGGAAAATCCACATTATCTTTTTTCCATTTGAATTGTTTGTCTGAATTCCACTGCCAACAACGAGCAAAGAGAGGAATAGACATAACCAGCTCAGCTTTGAGTTGCAAGAAAATGTAAGAAAAATAGCAGTTACTTGTCATTTATTCAGTGCATTATTTTATTCATCATTAATTTATTGATCTACCATTAGGATCGATTGATAACTATATACTGCACATACAGTAGTTTCAGATACACTCAAATATATACTGAGAGGGTTCAAATGTGTGGTAATGTTTAACACAGCTGCACACATGCCATCTAGTGGCAGCAGACTGCATTAACTGCAGTTACTTATGTCATTTCTACAAATCTCAACAGCTGTTCATAAAAAAATGAGGAATGAGTGCTATAGAATCTGCATGAACATGTGCAATTAATATGAATCTCTGATTGTGATGTTAAGATGATACATACGTTGTTTCTGTTGCTCTTTTAGGTGTGTATGTTCTCATAGCAATTGGGGCTGTAATGATGTTTGTGGGGTTCCTTGGTTGTTATGGAGCTATTCAGGAATCTCAGTGTCTCTTAGGAACGGTGGGTTTTTACTCAACTCATACTTTTCATGCTACATGCCTTTAAGAGGTTTACAATTCATCTTCTTACACTTTACTTGTGGTTCCAAATTATAGGTGTAGTTTTACTTTAACCTGTAGCATTTGATTATGATTATGATAATGATGATGATGCAGTTATTGACTATAATGCCATGTATTATTTACAAACTGGCATGTATTATTTTCTCAGAAGTTAAAATTCATCTATAAAGATTAATAACCATTGATTTATGCATTAATTGTTCAATCATTTAATCAGATTCTCTTACTAGAGGACAATACCCTTGTGAGAAAGAAGTACACTTTAGCATATTTTTAAGTATTTATTACAGAAATAATTTACTTTAAAAGAATATACTTAACTGTGAATTAAATGTAATGTTTTTGGGCACTTAGCTGTGTGTTAATTGCAACTAAATGAAAATGTATTATTGTTTGCAATGCAATTAGCTGAACTTTAGAGTGTTCTTTTTTGACCCACTTAAGTAGGACTTAAATACATCATTACATTAATTTTTATAAGCAATTCTAATGTCTTTAAAATATGGTTAAAGTGTACCACTGAATGTACGGACAAGCATTTATGGTAAACACTATATACTTTATTAATATACTTTAATAGAATTCCTATTGAAACGTGTATGTCAAATATATAATTGTATTTTAATTGTTTTATAATGACACATAATGATGAAGTTTCTAAACTTTTTACATACAAAGTACATTAACTTTGAAAGTGTACTCTCCTTAAACACACCTAAGTGGCTTTTTATTTCATTAATATTATATTATCTTCAAGTACAACTTTAAAAAAAGTTACTTTAAAGATTTAATATACACTACAACTGCACATTCCAAACAATTAAGCACACTTTTGTTTCACAGGGGTAGTCATGAGGTCAACGTTTATGCAAACCCAGAAAGCTAATTCACTAAAGCTAATTTCTATCTGGAATCTCCTGAACCATTCTTAGTATTCCAGGATTGTTTTCTTCATCACACAGTTTATGTCTTTTCTTATGTCTCAGTTCTTCACATGTTTAGTGATCCTCTTCGCCTGTGAGGTGGCAGCAGGAATATGGGGCTTTATTAACAGGGACACGGTAAGGCTACACATACTGTATACACTCAGAAAATCTGTATTTTAAGACTTAATTTTAAGACTGTCACTCTCTCGCTTTCTATCTGTCCAGATCTCCACTGAGCTCATTAACTTCTATGATGCTGCATACATTAAAGCTGTGGATCCTGTGGATACAACGTCCAGACAGGCAGCTTCCAAAGTTCTGGAGGTCTTCCATGACACAGTGAGTTGCCAAAATCAATTCTTTCATCCAAATTCTCTGTTTTGGACAGTTAATAATCCCTATCACTTTTTTTTTTTGCACTGTCTCGATATCTAGCTGGAGTGCTGTGGTAAAGGAGATGATAATCAACTTTTCACAGCTGTCCAGTCCTCTCTGTGTCCCAAAAAGACCATCCCAGTTGACCCACTCATCTCTCAGGTATCTTCTGTATGTTTATGATAGAGATCGTGTTTCAATTCAGCCTGATCTGGAGGCAGGAATGTAAACACATAACCAATATTTTTGTTACATTGTTATTTATTTTTTCACTTGTTTAATAGTTTTCACAACAAACAGATTTACACTGATTCTAAGCAATTTAAGCCTAAATGCATTTTGAAAATATGTTTGCAAATAACATTTTTTTAGTTGGGATTGTGCTAAATTATAACCAAACAAACAAACAACAACAAAAAACGTGATATATTTGATACCTGACAGTGTGTTTGATTGTGGATAAACTAATTTATTGATGTTGTGCACTTTAGAGTTGCCACACAAAGCTAAGGGATCTGTTCACTGAGAAGCTCCATGTCATTGGATTGGCTGCCCTAGTGATTGCTGTCATTATGGTGAGAATGAACACATACATGCACAATTACAGACTTGTGCTAGGAATCACAAACATTTCCCTTAAAAACGGCTGTGTGTGTAATTTCTCTCTGCTGTGTGTCTAGGTTTTTGAGATGATCTTCACCATGGTCCTCTGCTGTGCAATCCGCAATGCTCCTGCATATTGAGTTGCTGGATGATGACCAGCCTGATCAGCAATGTTTGATTTTTGCTAGTGATGGGATGGAGGCCATTTCACTTCTGCATTTCCTCTCTTTTCAAGTTCAAGTGTCCACACACTGAACATTGATCCCTGTGTTTGTAGAGAGGACTTCCAATGGCATCAGAATACAACACCAAGTGCTATTATAAATAAACCAGTAACCAATATCAGGGAGGAGGAGTAATGTGATTGAAAGTAATATGGATAACATTGATTTTATGTTGTATTGTTTTACTTTTATTTAATAATTTTATTAGATTTGCTCTTACATTGCTCTTATGGTCTGTTGTTCAACTTTTAGTTGCTTTTAGCATGTGTGTGTGTGCTTGTTTGCTAAATAAATCATTGTGATGTTTATAGAGAGATACATGTTATGAATCCGTTATGCAACGGTAATTTGTGTCTTCTGAGAAAGCATATCATACATTAGACTTTACCAACCCATAATAATGATGTCATGATAATCGAATGATAACCCACATGAAACAAATCAAACTTTCAATGAGCCTGTGGTATTTTTATTTTGTGGACATTCAGTTTATTTCTAATAAAACTTCTAATTAAACAAATCTGCCAAATTATTGTTGTGAATGTTTTGTTAGTAATGTATTGAATCTTACCTTATTTGAAGCATATTTGCATACATGTTTAGGACAAACAATTCTTGTACTTTTATTCTCTAGAAATAGAATGATACTTACTAAGATATAGTATTGTGCACCGTCGCTTTAAGAGTAGATAGATAGATAGATAGATAGATAGATAGATAGAGAAGCATAAAATGATGCCGTCATGCACAGAAAATATTGTGCACCGTCGTTTTAAGTGTAGATAGATAGATAGATAGATAGATAGAGAAGCATAAAATGATGCCGTCATGCACAAAATATTGTGCACCGTCGCTTTAAGAGTAGATAGATAGATAGATAAATATAGAAGCATAAAATTATGCCGTCATGCACAGAAAATAGTGTGCACCGTCGCTTTAAGTGTAGATAGATAGATAGATAGAGAAGCATAAAATGATGCCGTCATGCACAAAATATTGTGCACCGTCGCTTTAAGAGTAGATAGATAGATAGATAGACAGATAGATAGATAGAAGCACAAAATGATGCCGTCATGCAAGAAAATATTGTGCACCGTCGCTTTAAGAGTAGATAGATAGATAGATAGACAGATAGATAGATAGAAGCACAAAATGATGCCGTCATGCAAGAAAATATTGTGCACCGTCGCTTTAAGAGTAGATAGATAGATAGATAGACAGATAGATAGATAGAAGCACAAAATGATGCCGTCATGCAAGAAAATATTGTGCACCGTCGCTTTAAGAGTAGATAGATAGATAGATAGACAGATAGATAGATAGAAGCACAAAATGATGCCGTCATGCAAGAAAATATTGTGCACCGTCGCTTTAAGAGTAGATAGATAGATAGATAGATAGATAGAGAAGCATAAAATGATGCCGTCATGCACAAAATATTGTGCACCGTCGCTTTAAGAGTAGATAGATAGATAGATAGACAGATAGATAGATAGAAGCACAAAATGATGCCGTCATGCAAGAAAATATTGTGCACCGTCGCTTTAAG